TACAAAAGGCTGTATTCCTTGATCATTCTAGGGATTAGAGCATGATAAAATGAAGGGTGGAGCAAGTAAGAGGCCTAAGTCACACACATAGTAGTGGCAGAAGTTGGAACACACTTTCTTATGTACACACTAAGCTACATTAGATGACATCTTCTACACTTTAGTGTGGAACATCTCAGCTCCACTATGCTCCCATAGGGCTAAGTATCCAAACAAGCCTCTATTATATTAAAGTCTTTTCATGTTACTTGGATCCACAATCAATACACTTGGTACAAATAGTCAGGAGATCAGGAGATATACTGCACTGGGAAAGTCTTCAGTTAGCGACCTATCTAAATTATTGAGGAGCAATGATATTAGTTTGAGGTTTAAGGTTCCTCTGATTCAGACATGGTCTTTCCAATCACTTACTATGCATCTGAGAGATGAGCAGTGAATAAGGATGAGAGAAGAATTGATGTCTTTGAGCTGTGGTATGTTGAAGAAAAGCACCGAACATCCCATGAACTGCCAGAAGAACAAACAGATATGTCTTGGAGAAGATACAAGCAGAGAGGTCCTTTGAGGTAAAGATGATAAAGCTTCATCTCACATACTTCGGGCATGTTGCTAGAAGAGACTCCTCCTTGGAGAGGGACACATGTTTGGAAAGGTAGAGGGACAGCAAAAGAGAGGAAGACCCTCAACCAGGTGGACTGACACAGTAACTGCAGCAATGGGCTTGAGTGTGACAGAGATTGTGAGGATGACACAGGATAGGGCAGAATTCACGTCTATCATTCATAGGGTTGCTGTTTCACTCAACTCAAAGGTATCTAACAACAACAAAAGCAACAGTTCTAATCACACATGTATGGGGTCTCCATGTGTTGAAATTGACTCAATGGCAAGTTGTTTTTTTTATTTTTCTCCCCTAGAGTTGACTCATTGGCTCAATAATAATTAGCTTGTATTTCTTTTCTACTAACAAAAGAACCTCGAAGGTTTTGGTTGTTGTTGGTAGTGTGTTGTTGTTATTGTGGGTTTTGCTTCTGGAAAGTGAAAAGAAGTTTAACCGAGACCTAAGTTAATCAAGCATTATAACTTGGCAAACTAGCAAACACATAGTTTCTCCCTCTCTCTCAACAGCATCAGTGGATCTGTAGAAGTTGTAAACAGCACAGAAGATTTGAACTGCCTGCCTGTGGGAACACAGCTCAACTCCTTACTCACTAAGCCACCAGAGCGCCTTTTAAAGTTTAAAGTGAGAGAGAAAGAAAAGTTAGACCAGCCATGCATCTCTCCTC